GAGAGAGAGAGAGAGAGAGAGAGAGAGAGAGAGAGAGAAAGAAAGAAAGAAAGAAAGAAAGAAAGAAAGAAAGAGAGAGAGAAAGTGAAAAAGCAAGCCACCAGGTACTGGACTTGAACCATGGTTGGCCATGTAGGAGTCCAACACCCTTAACCACCATGCTACCTTTTGGCCCTGGCATGGTTTGATTTTGATCTGAAGAACTTTTCTTTCTTTTTTTGGAGAGGTTTTTGCTATAGGGCGCGTGCACTCGCCAGACAGAGAGAGACAGAGAGACAGAGAGTGAGAACTCACCTCCCGGGGGGATGGCCACGCCGCAATCCCTTCTCCTCCATTGTCCTCTTAGTATCTTGGGCACACACGCACACATGCCTGGCATGAGTTTAAGCCACCGGGTCCGGGACTCGAACCATGGTCAACTACATGGGAGTCCAGTGACATAGCCATTACGCCAACTGCTGGTCCCCTGAAGAACTTTTCTTATTCGACCACTGTGCAGAAAGAGCAAGGAAGAGGCCCTGTGGCACCGTACTCCGTGCCCAGCTTGTGGAATGGAGATTCGGTGGTCCAAGTACTCCGTGTCCAATTTCAAAAAGAAATCGATCGGAGGGGGCATCAGGCTCAGCCACTGTGCCCTCGCTTGGAGAAGGTTAAGGGGGAGACGGGCTGCGAGAAAATACAGTTACTCAGTAATAGCAGGAAGAAAAGGATACCCAGCACTCCCGAAGGATGTGCTATGAGCTAAATGTGCTTCAGACATTTAACCCTCATGTTGGCATACGCACATTCAGAAGCAAAAACAACCCGTACCTTTAAAGTTAGCTAACAGAAACAAAGCTCCCCCAGCCCTTATTATTAGGAAGTAATTATATGGAAAAGAGTGTGTGGTGCCCCAGAAACTTGGAAATATGGGAATAAAATTGTCCTCTTGGTGTTCAAGTGTAAAATCACACGTAGTGGGTTTGAGTAAAGACATGCGATACGGCCCTTGAAGCAGGCTCCACATCTAGAGGGTTGGAAGGGGAACCAGACTGAACACACAGGCGCATCTGGGGAAAGGCGATGTCGATGGACCAGTCAGAGCTGGCTTGTTCAGCTGTGCACTGGGGAAGCCTGGGAACAGGCACTTTACTGACTGGATGCTGGCCGTGTCCTTCTAAGCCTGTTGAGCATTTCGTGATTTGATTCTTATGTTGGTTCACCTGAGGGAAGTGAAGGTGCTTGATTGTATTACCTTGAGCTAGTCTGCTTACTCCCACGGTGCTCACCCGAGAGAAACAGAGACAACGAGAGGGAATGTGAGAAATCACCCCCCCAGGAGGGACACTGCAATCCCTTCTCCTCCATTCTCTTCTGGGGATCTTGGCCATGCATGCCCACGCACCCGGCTTGAGTTTTAAGCCACCGGGTTCTGGAATCAAACTGTGGTCGACCATGTGGGAGTCCAGTGACATAACCACTATACCATCTGCGGACCCACCACAGTCATTGTTCATTATAAATGAAGAGATGGTAGGGTAAGAAACTGCTTGCCTTGTGGACTTGAGGGTTTTGATGACTATGACAACATTTTCTCATTGCAAATGAATATATTGACATGCTGCATTATAAATCAGCCCGATAGAGTTGGTTATTGTGGGTCCAGCTGAAAGATACATCAGTTCTAGGACCATTGGTATAAACCACTCCCGGGTCTTCTGAGTGTAAGGCAGTTAGATTCCAACGTGTGGCAATTTTGCTAAAGAAAGTACCTGTGCCCTTTCATTCTCTTGGGAAATGTCTTGTTGGCCTGGTCTTCTAGTAGCGATGTTAATCATGACACACTAGGAGAAGCATTTCTTTCTAAATCTGAATACGAACGGTATGGATACCATGTCTGCAATGTCTGTCCCTTCCTTCTGTCTTAAGGGTTGCTTTAAGTTAGGCTCCTTGGCAAAAAAAAAAAAAGATTGAGGTGGAAACTTCACCCACTGGAGCCTGTGGTTCCCGAACTGAACTCACCAATTGACATTTGATGACATGATCCAAATATGACGTAAATGACTGACGAGCAGAAAGCTGCATAAGCGACATTGAGAGGAGGAATCAGTTGCCTTGCCAGCAAACTAAATGTCAGGCCTGGAAAGCAAGATACTTTAAGTAAGAAAAGGGAGCTTGGCTTTTAAAAGTGACCTGAAGTAAAAACTGTCAAGGCTATTTAGAGTGGGGACGATCACGCGCACAGCTGACTAAGTGAGATACGAGTATGCCTCGACACGGAACCCTTCATTGGAGCGTTTTCTTTCTCCTTTCATTCTGAGATTCTCTTCCTGTTTAACCACATGCTTTCCCACCTCAATTCCGCATCATAGGCTAAAACATCTTTCAGTGCAAGACCTTAAGGCTGAACACGGAGAGCAAACCCCACTGCCATAAAACCCCACATTGCAATGGCTGAGAAGCAACCTCACCCCCACCCCTAGTCTAACACAAGAAGACCCTTGGAATCCTCCAGGGCTGAGGATAAGCTGGAGAGCAAAGCAAGAATCACGCTCGCTGACTTGATTCAGTGGCTACGTGTCGTCTCTCTCCCATGTGTCAGTCCACCCTCCAATCGCTCCCTTCTGCTCCCTCTTCAACACTTAGAATTTGGAAATTTTTTTAAAGAGGTTTTTTTTTTTTTTTTTTTTTCCCCTTGAGAGTTTTTGCACTCACCAGAAAGAGAGACAGAGACAATGAGAGGGAACACGAGAAAACATTCCCCGGGGGGGATGGCCACGCCACAGTCCCTTCTCCATTGCTCCTCCTGGGACCTTGAGCACGCATGCACACAGGACCAGTGTGATTTTGAAGCCACCAGGTCCGAGACTCGCACCGCGGTTGGCCATGTGGGAGTCCAGCGATGTAACTGCTGTGCCATCTGCTGGCCCCAAATTTGGAAATTTTGAAGCTGATGAATTAACATGCATGCGGTTATTCTTTCGATGTTTCAAGCTCACACCTCCTGCTTAAACCAACATACTCATCAAAGTTCCGTTTTCAGTCCAATGAGCTAGTTTACTATTTTAGACAATAAAGGCTTTCTTGTTTAATGGAAAATTTCAAACTCATACAAAAATAGAGCGTAATGAGTACCATCATCCAGTTCAACAGTGGTCAAACCATGGCCAATCTCACTTCTTCTATGTCCCCTTTCCTAACCCACCCGATTTTATTTAGAAGCAAACCCATGATACGACGTTACTCTATCTGTAGACTGCAGTATGAATCGCTAAACAAATGACACTTTAAATTTCAGTACGATACCACCGTTATGCACTCGGTGTTCACATTTTCCAGATTATCCCAGAAATGGCTGTTGTAGAGGGACTCTAAGATGATTTGCAATGGCCGATTGATATTCTCGCTCTTGCCTGATTTCCTCTGCCTTAAGTGTGGGGTGGGCTTAGTCACTTGTTCTTTTTTTTTTCTTCTTCTTCTTTTTTTTTAAAGATTTTTTTTGTAATTACTTTATTTAATTTTAAAATTTATTCATTCATTTATTTTAATTTAACCAGAGAGAGACAGAGAGAGAAAGAGACAGTGAGAAAGCAAACTGCCAGGTCCAGGACTTGAACCGTGGTTAGCCATATGGGAGTGTCCAGCACCTTAACCGCCATGCCACCTGCTGGTCCCTAGTCGCTTGTTCTTAACGAATAGAACACATCAGAAAATGAGAGGTCGTTCCCTCTGAGGTTAGATTACAAAAACATAGTGGCTTCCATCTTGATTGCCCTCGGGCCATCTCTCTCATTCAGGACGCTAGCTGCTAGAGTTGGTGTCAAAGGTGTGTGACTATGTCGTCACACAGAGCCTTGGGCTTAGAAGGGTTCCCTTCTCCCATTGGGATTAAGAGCTTTGCTGCCACTGTCTTGAAATTCTGAATGATTTTTAACCTAGGGTCCTGTATTTTCATTTTGCATGGGGCCCCCACAGGCGGCTGGTCTTGCCCGTGCCTTGAGACACTCAAGCAGCCTATCAAGAGGCCCATGTGAGGAGGAGCCCAGGCCTGCTAATCAACACATGAGCGTGGTCAGAAGTGGATCTTCTGAGTTCTGTCAATAGCTACATGAGTGAGCCTGGGAGCAGATTCTCTCACCTCAGTAGAGTGCCAGATGACCAACAGCTTGGCTAAACCTCATTAAAGACCTACAGCCAGAGGTATGGCAGTTTTTAAGATGATGTGTTTTGTTTTGTTTTGTTTTTTAGAGATTTTTGCTATAGGGCGTGTATGCTCATTGGAGATACAGAGATAGAAATCACCCCCCAGGGGGGATGCTGCATCCCTTCTCCTCCATTCTCCTCTCAGGATCTTGGGCACGCATGCCCATGAGCCTGGCTTGAGTTTTAAGCCACCAGATCTGGGACTCGAACCATGGTTGACTACATAGGAGTCCAGCGATGTAACCATTACACCATCTAGTGGTCCTTTGAGATGATCTTTAAAAAATTATTATTTGCAGGACCAGCAGTTAGTATAATGGCTATATCGCTGGACTCCTACGTAGTTGACCGTGGTTCGCGTCCCGGACCCGGTGGCTTAAAACTCACGCCGGGCGTGTGTGCATGAGTGCCCAAGATCCCGAGAGGAAAATGGAGGAGAAGGGATTGCGGCGTGGTCAGCCCCCCTGGGGGGTTGATTTCTCGCTTTCTGTCTCTGTCTCTGTCTGGCGAATGCACGCGCCCTATAGCAAAAACCTCTAAAAAATTATTATTTGCTATTCCATATTGTGCTTTATTTTACAATCTGTGTATTTAAACCAGGGCCCAAATGTTGCCCTCCATTGGTTGCTCTCTCTCTAAGCTTCTTGCAGGATATAGGTTCCCCTTCCACATGTTTTTCCTTAGACAAGGCTCTACTGATTGCAAGAGACAGAGAGCTGCTCAGATCCACTTGAGCAATAGGAAATGTATTTAAAGGGTACAGGGGTAGTTGGGCCTCATCAGAGACTGGAACCAAAACTAAAACATCAGGATCCAGGGTGCTTATTTCCCCTTTGTCTTTGTCTCTAGGGTTGCCAATGGCTTGTGTTTGTTTCCAGTTTGAGGCTGTTTTGAACAATACCACAATGGATATTCTTTTTTTTTTTTTTGAACAGGTTTTTTTTTCTTTTTTTGGCTATAGGGCGCATGCGCTCGTTAGACAGAGAGACAGACAGAGAGAGAGAGAGAGAGAGAGAAAGAAATCACCCCCCAGGGGGTGGCCACGCTGCAATCCCTTCTCCATTCTCCTCTCGGGATCTTGGGCACGCACGCACACATACCCGGTGAGAGTTTAAGCAACTGGGTCCAGGACTCGAACCACGGTCGACTATGTCGGAGTCCAGCAACATAGCCATTACGCTAACTGCTGGTCTCACCACTATGGATATTCTTGTACATGTCTCCCAGTGCACAAATGTACAAGTTCCTTGAGATAATCGGCCCTGAATTATAAATGCTGGGACTTTTACTAGATAATACCAAACTATTTTCCAAATGATTATATAATTTATACTCTCCCCAGCAATGTATGATAATTTTCACCATCACATCGATCCTAGAACATAATATAGTCAGATTTTTAATTTTAGTGTGTATGGTGGTAACTCATTTTAGCTTAGATATCTACTTTATTAATTACTGATCATGCTGAGCACCCTTATCTAGTTGTTTCTTTGTGGATTTGTGGGAGTATATGTATTATAAATAATTTGTTGTGTCTATGTGTTGCAAATATCTTCTCCCATTCTGTGATTTGCTTTTTAGTCATTATAGCATTTCGAATGGACAGTTCTTAAATTTTACTTAGTTCAATTTATCCATCTTTTCCTTTGTGATTTTCCTTTTTCTTTTCTTTTTCTTTCTTTTTTTTTTTTTTTTTTTTTTGGTCTTGTTTAAGAAGTTTTTTTCACAGTCAGCGGATGGCATAGTGGTTATATTGCTGGACTCTCACCAGTGGTGGTTCAAGTTTTGGACCTGGTGGTTTGAAACTCATGCCAGGCACATGTGGATGCATTCCCAAGATCCAGGAGGAGAATGGAGGAGAAGGGATTGCGGCATGAACATCTCCACGGGGGGATGATTTCTCACTTTCCCTCTCACTGTCCCTGTCTCTCTCTGCCTCCCTATGACAAAAACCTCTTAAAAACAAACAAGTTCTTTTCTACCTTAAGATCATGAAGATATTCTTTTAAATTATTCCCCCCCAAAATCTTAATGACTTTAGGACCAACAGATTGCATGGAGGTTAAGGCACTGACTGGATTCTACATAGTTGACTCCTTGGTTCGAGTCCTGGACCCGGCTTGAAAATCACACTAGCTCTGTGTGTGTGCATGCCCAAAATCCCAAGAGGAAACTGAAGGAGAAGGAATTGTGTGACCATACCCTCTGGGGGATGATTTCTCACTTTCCCTCTCTCTCTGTCTCTGTCTCTTTCTGGTGAGTGCACACACCTTATAGCAAAAATTTAAAACAAACACATGAACAAAAACCTTCTCTCTGTAGTGACAAATCTGGTAAGTTACATGATTTCATGTCTGTGTGACTCTCTGTTCTGTTCAGTTGATCCTGTTTATCGCTGCAATACCACGGGGTCTATCTTTTTGGTAGTTAGTTTAATAATGGTTTTGGTGATGAATTCAGTAATCCCCACTTTTAATGTGACACGTAACATACATATAGAAAATACATTAAAATAGGTATCAGGCTTCAACCAGCAGGTGGCAGGCTGGTTAAGACAGCTGGAGCCCATAACTGAGGGGTGACTCAGTAATTTAGCAGTGGGGTACTCTCTATCTTTGGTCATAACTAAAAGACAGAGAGGAGACAGGAGGGCTCTCACTGTTGAAGAATCAGGGCCAAAAGTTCAGTTCTCTTATTGCGGTACCACAGGAATGCTCTAGAGAGTTTATTCATACAAATAAAGTGACTATATTCATCCAAATGGATCATTTTGGTTTCCGCATGGAAAGTTTTTTGCAATAGTTCTACTAGAACATAGAGTACCTCGCTGTGAATTTTAAAAGGTGCCACTTTATTCTGCAAATGCAAGACTGGTTCAATATTTTAAAAATTGGTTAATCTGGAACCAGCAGTTGATGTAATGGCTATGTCGCTGGACTCCCACGTAGTCGACCACAGTTTGTGTCCTGGACCTGGTGGCATAAACTCATGCCGGGCTCGTGTGTGCCCAAGATCCCGAGAGGAGAATGGAGGAGAAAGGATTGTGGCATGGCCATCCCCACTTGGGGGTGATTTCTTGCTTTCTGTCTCTCTGTCTCTCTCTTTCTGGTGAGTGTCCACGCCCTATAGCAAAAACCTCTCTCCCCCCCCCTAAAGCAAAAAACCACTCCCCCTAAAAAAAAAAAAAAAAAAAGGAATAAAAATGTAGGAAATCACCAATTTTTTCTCCATTTTCCTCTCTGAATTTTGGGTATGCACATGTGCCCAGCATGAGTTTTAAGCTGCCAGGTCCAGAACTCGAACCATGGTCAACTATGTGGGGACTTCAACAAGTTTGTGATAAAATGGAATTAAAGGGGGTTGCCAAGTGGTATGGTGGTTAAGGGCGCTGGACTCCCACATGGTTGACCATGGTTTGAGTTCCAGACCTGGCAGCTTGCTTTCTCACCATTCCTCTCTCTCTCCCTCTGGTCAAAGTAAAATAAATAAAGTTAAATAAAATAATTATTTTTAAAAAATGGAGTTAAAGTATGAGTTTATTTTGGTGCAAAAAGAATCGAAACGCAGTGTAGTTTTTTTTTTTTTATATGCATTTCCATGAACCTTTTGAAGAACCTTAGTACAAGTGTTAAAATTCACAGAACTGGGGGCCAGCAGGTGTTACGGTAGTTCAGGTGCTGGATTCCCACATGGCTGACCACAATTTGAGTCCCAAACCTGTTGAAAAATCACACCAGGCATGTATGTGTGCCCCAAATCCTGAGGGAAGGATAAAGAAGGGATTGCGGTGGGACCATTTCCCTTGGGGGGTGATTTCTCACTTTCCTCTCTCCGTCTCTCTCTTGTGAGTGCACGTGCCCTATGGCAAAATCTAAAATAAATAAATAAATAAATAAAAAGACCATCTGGGAATGGCGAATTACTGTGAATAGAGGAATAATGAAAACCCTTTCTCTGTTTTCTATGAACAAAATCAACCTTGCGTTAACATTCTCTGTTTCTTTGGAAATCACATGGAATGTCAGCTCTGTTACCAGGCAGCATTGCTGATGGGAAAAAGTGAGCCTAATTAGTACATTTCATCTGAACCAAGAGGCTTGGGAATGAAAGATAAATATCTGGAAGGAAGCCCTCAGTTTGGACTTCTCTGAGCCCAGCGATTCTTGTAACAGTCATTCTTGTAACACTTACGGGACTGTTGCAAGAGTGCCCGGCTCCTATTTCCAAGCAGCTCCTGCTCCCTCCTGTGGGATCGTGCTGTCTTATATCTGAACTGCTGGTTGGAAAACCAAAGCGTAAGCTCTGCTGTGTCTCCGGCTGGAGCGACGCTGGCATGCTGTTTCCTACCCTTCACCTTCCTGAGTACAGCTAGTGCCAAGTGGATCTACTGCAGTAGAGTATGAGATCACTAGTTAAACAAGCAATTACCAGCAGTGGGTGTTGCAAAATACTCCGGAAAGTATCCAGGAGTATAAACTAAACAAAATCTTTTGGAATCCACTGGGACGGATTAGAAAGCTGACAGTTAATAAGGGAACACATGGTAATGATGCAAATGACATTCACATTTTTTCCGTTTATCTGGCATAGTAACCGTTTACCCAGGCTAAGTGCACCCGGTCCAATACATCGTCTTTAGATGCAAAGGCTTCATTTCTGCCTTACCTTGAGGAACTTGCAGAAGGCCTACACTTAGACCAGCAAGTAAGTCTCCAAGAAGCCAGTCCTTGAATCGATACAAACATATCCATTGTAGGAAGGGAAAGACGGTGAGCATGCATTTTAGGAACCTGTGCCATGAGCAGCTGTGAGAGAGAAGAGCAGAGACTTGATTAGGTTCTTTAAAGAAAAAGGCCACGTAGGCGAGAGAAGGCAGTGTGGTGTGAGAGGTACGGCAGTGATGTGCAAGGCTGGGGCCGCACCAGAGGCCCGGGTTTGGGTCTCAGAACAGGTTGGGCACGAAGCACCTGCCTATAATCCTAGCTAATCAGGAGGCTGGCGTGGAGGAGCTCAAGGACAAGACCTTGTTAAAAATATCTATTTTGGGGGGCCAGCAGGTGGCCCTAGACTCCCACATGACTAACCATGGTTCAAGTTCTAGATCCGGTGACTTGAAAATCAAGAAGGGCCAGAAGGTGGCATAGTGGTTAACATACTGGACTCCCATGTTGACTATGGTTCCAGTCCCGGGCCCAGTGGCTCAAAACACACTGGGTGTGTGTGTATGTGTGTGTGTGCCCAACATCCCAAGAGGAGATGGAGGAGAAGGGATTGCAGTGTGGCCATCGTCCTGGTGGGTGATTTCTTACTTTCTGCCTCTCTCTCTCTTTGTCTCCAGTGAACGGACAGCCCCTATAGCAAAATCCTCTCTCTCTCAAAACAAGAAAATCACGCTGAGCACATGTGCATGTGTGCCCAAAATCCTGAGAGGAGAATGGAGAAGGGCTTGAGGCATACTTGTGCACCCCAGGGAGGTGATTTCTCACTCTCCCTTGCTCTGTTTCTGTTTCTCTCCAGTGAGTACATGTGCTCTGCAGCAAAAACAAACAAACAAAAACCACTAAAAATAAAGGAAAGAAACAAAATCTCTTTCTTTCTCACCTCCCTCCCATGCTTTCTCTCCTCTCTCTCATTGAAAAAAAAAGTCACAATGCATAATCTTTTTCCCACGTAACAGTTTCTCATCCGTAGTGTTGACATTTTGACATATGGGGCCAGACCCTTCTTTGTTGGGGGGCTGTCCTGGCCACTGTTGAACGTGCAGCAGCACCCCTGGTCTCTACCCACTAGGTGTCAGTAGCGCTACCTTCTCCAGTGTGACAACCGGAAATGTCTCCAGACGTTGCCAAGTGTACCCTGGGAGACCAAAAATCAACTCAAGTTGAGAACCCAGGTGTTACATATATGGCGAAAACTATCTGCCCAGTATAAAAGCAGTTCTGTATTTTATAAGTTGTTTGGAAAGAACAATTTTCCAGCAGAAAGGGGACTGCTAGTGCTCTCTCTTGATGAGAACTTTGAGATGTTCGCTGACGGGCAGCTGGGGCAGTTAACACACACGCATCACTCCCAGGCACCAAAATTTTTACTAAACATGAACTTTGTCTGGCTTTGGCATGTGGTATATAGAAATTTCTAGAAAATATAGAACATGGGGACCAGCAGATGGTATAATGGTTATGTTGCTGAACTCCCATGTAGTTGACTGCACTTTGAGTCCTGGACCCAGTGGCTTAAAATTCACACTAGGCACGTGTGCAAGTGTGCCCAGGATCCCTAGAGGAGAAGGGATTTCAGTGTGGCCATCCCCCCTGGGAGTGATTTCTTGCTTTCTGTCTTTCTATCTCTCCATGAGCGCATGTACTCTATAGCAAAAACACCTCTATTTGAAATATATATATATGTGTGTGTGTGTGTGTGTGTGTATACATACACATACACATACGTAGAACATGAAGTCCTGTGCTTCAGTAGTTAGCTATATAAACAAAAGTCTTTATAAAATAAGTCTTTATTGAACCAGCAGGCAATGTGATGGTGAAGGCACAGGACTAACACATGGCCAAGCATGGTTCAAGTCCCAGACTAAGTGGCTTGAAAATCACCCTGGACACAAATGTGTGCAGGCCCAAAATCCTGAAAGGAGAATGGAGGAGAAGGGATTGCAGTGTGGCCATCCTCCCGGGGCTGTTTTCTCACTTTCCCTCTCTCTGTTTCTGTCTCTCTCCTGTGAGCACCTGCATGCTATGGTGAAACAACAACAACTACCAGGTCTTTATTACCCTTTAATCCAGTCACTCTCAGCCAGGAGCAGTTTTGTTTCCTAAGGACATTCGGCAATATCTGGAGACATTTTTGATTCTCACAACTGCTACCTAGTGGGAAGAGGTCAGGGATGCTGCTAGACACCCTATAGTGCACAAGATGGCTCTGTACAAAAAAAAAAAAAAAATTGAGGGTGCAAAGTGCCAATGATGCAGAGATGGAGAAAAACTGTCTTAAACCTTTAGACCATCTCCAGCAGAAACTCAAAATCAATCATTAATCAGTAAACCAATCTGGTTTTATTTATTTATTTTTTAAGAATTATTTTTTCAGGGCCAGCAGTTGGTGTAATGTCTACGTCACTGGACTCCCATGTAGTCAACTGCGGTTTGAGTCCCAGACCTGGTGGCTTAAAACTCACACCAGGTGCGTGTGCATGTGTGCCCAAGATCCCAAGAGGAGAATGTAGGAGAAGGGATTGTGGTGTGGCCATTCCCCCTGGGGGGTGATTTCTCGCTTTCTGTCTCTCTGTCTCTCTCTGTCTTGCTGGCGAGCGCACACACCCTATAGCAAAAGCAAACAAACAAACAAACAAAACAACAACAACCAAAAAACTCTTAAAAAAAGAATTAATATTTTTTTCTTTCTTCCTTTCTTTTAATTTGACCAGAGAGTGACAGAGAGAGAAAGAAGGAAAGTGAGAAAGCAAGTCACCGGGTCTGGGGTTCTAACCGTGGCCAGCCATGTGGGAATCCAGTGCCCTTAACCACCATGCCACCTGCTGACTCTTATTTTTATTTTTTTTAATTGCAAGGGAAAGATAGAGAGGGAGAAGGAGAAAGCATTCCCCAGTGGGGTATGATCACACCGTAATACCTTAGCCTTCATTTCTCTATCCTGTCGGCATTTGGGGTATGCATAAATAAGCACCAGATGTGTTTTTCAAGCCCGCATGGCCAGAATTCCAACGGTGGTCTGCCATGTGGATCTGACTTCCTTAACCACTTGGCTACAGGACCAGCCCCTAATTTGGTTTAAAAATGCTTTTTGTTATCTTCATTTTAGCATGACCTGAAAGCGAAGAACATGAGCATTTTTCATGTATGAGCTATGCAAGATAATTGAGATTGGACTGTAATAACATGGTCCATGCAGGGCCACAATCTGTGCTCAGGAAGAAGTGATTTTACATGTTTGACTCTTGCATCTGTGAGCATCGCTGTCCCTGAGGTAAGTAAGGCCTAGTAAGCATCAGCGACTTTGCCAAGGTCGTAGCAGTGAGTATGACCAGGTCTTCGGATTCCTGGTTTATTGTTCTATCCACTCTGCTACCTTCGCGGTTCCTAGGGACAGCTGTTAAATTCCGTTCAGGAGCCAGGAGCAATATCATTGGCGTGGAGTAAACATCGCATGGCTGTTCTTAGGAGAGTCCCTGGGTGTGAGGCAGGTGCTCAAAGTGTGCTCTCTTTATTCACGCCCTTCCACAGGGAAGAGTAGAACTTGGCCCTGGGACAGTTTGTTCCTTCGCCTGGCCCAGTGCCACACGATGGAAGACTGGCTACCTCAAACAGAGTCATTGCAGCTCTTTGGCATACGGTGAGAGATAAAACGAACATGGGACGGTGAGGATCTAAGAGTGAAACGAATCAAGGAGAGAGAGAACTAGAAGTCGAAGCTCATGGAGGGATAGCATAAGTATTTGGACATGAGTCTGGATTTTCGTTAAGGAGTTTTTTGAAGGGATCTTAGAATTGATGTTGAAAGCAAAGGGGAGAGTTTAGTAAGAAAGGGAGTACTCGCAGTTGCTAACTAAGAGGAAGGAAATGAAGAAAGGGATAAGGAGTCTTCTGCACAGTGGAAGAGATGGCGTTAAGAGATTATTTTATTTTTAAAGATTAAAAAAAAAAAAGCCATCCAGTTATCTAATTCTATTTCCTATGAACGTTACTTTTTTTTTTTTTTTTGAGAGGTTTTCACTATAGGGCGCGTGTGCTCCCCAGACAGACAGAGAGAGACATAGAGACAGAAAGCGAGAAATCACCCCCAGGGGGGATGGTCACGCCGCAATCCCTTCTCCTCCATTCTCCTCTCGGGATCTTGGGCACGCACGCACACGCGCCCGGCGTGAGTTTTAAGCCACCGGGTCCAGGATGCGAACCACGGTCGACTACGTGAGAGTCCAGCGACATAGCCATTGCACTAACTGCTGGTTCCTGAACGTTACTTTTTTTTTAAGAGAGGTTTTTGCTATAGGGCGTGTGCGCTCACTGGAAAGACAAGAGAAAGACAGAGAGACAGAAAGCGAGAAATTATGCCCTGGGGGAATGGCCACGCCGCAATCCCTTCTCCTCCATTCTCCTCTCGGGATCTGGGCACACACGAACACATGCCCAGCGTGAGTTTCAAGTCCCTGGGTCCAGGACTTGAATAGCAGTTAACTACATGGGCCTCCAGCGACGTAACCATCATGCTGTCTGCTGGTCCCATATTTCCTATGTACTTTACAAATACTTTTTAAATACTCAACAACCACTCAATGAAGCAGATGATATTATCATGTCCATTTACAGATGAGGAAACTGAGGCTAGCACAGTTGGATAGCTTACCTCAGGACGCACAGCTGGGATGTAGCAGAACTGGGGTTCAAAACCCGGCAGCCTGGCTTCAGAATCAGGCCTTTTTTTTTTTTTTCTAGAGTTTTATTTATTTATTTTTTCCATGAGTGAGAGAGACAGATAGAGACAGTGCACCCCAACAGGGTCTGGACATTGTGACCCACCCCCAGCTTCCTCTACCCCAGACCATGGGCTAGCACGTGCCCACCTTATTTAGCAACATCTCTGGATCCGAATGGCCACCTTCCCATGGGGGATTGCCTCAGAGCATCCTGTTCCACCACTTCCTGGCCCCCAGAATCATGCTCTTAACTTAATGTGGTGTGTTATCTTTCTGTTTAAAATGCAGAAGTGGAGATAACTGTATGTTTTAGAAACAGAGAATAGGAAATGTTATAAAAGGCTGTGGGAGGCGGAATGGTCA